TCTCCTGCGTACCCAGTGGTGCTGGGAATTCCCTGGTTAAGCACCCATAACCCTGCTATTTCGTGGCAACGGAGGGCTCTCGATGGGTGGTCTGCTCAGTGCGAGGGGCGATGTCTGGGTGTTTCCGTGGGAGCGACTTCGGTGGAAAGTCCAAACCAAGTGCCCGCACTGCACATTCCGCCTGAATATGGGGATTTAGCTCTCGTGTTTAGTAAAACTAGGGCGACGCAGTTGCCTCCTCATAGACAGGGGGATTGTGCGATTGATCTCCAGGCAGGAGCAGCGCTCCCACGGAGCCACGTGTATCCTTTGTCTCAAGAGGAGAGAAAAGCTATGGAGACTTACATAGCCAAATCTTTGAGACAGGGATACATTCGGCCCTCCACTTCTCCCGCCTCCTCGAGCTTCTTTTTTGTGAAGAAGAAAGATGGAGGGTTGCGCCCGTGCATTGATTACCGTGGTCTCAATCAGATTACTGTGAAATACAGTTATCCACTCCCTCTGATTGCGACCATGACAGAGTCATTGCATGGAGCGCGGTTTTTCACGAAATTGGATCTCAGGAGCGCGTATAACTTGGTGCGCATTAGGGAGGGCGACGAATGGAAGACAGCGTTTAGTACCACGTCAGGTCATTTCGAATATCTCGTCATGCCATATGGGTTGATGAATGCTCCATCAGTCTTCCAATCCTTCGTAGATGACATTTTCCGGGATATGCAGGGACAAGGGGTGGTCGTGTACATTGATGACATTCTGGTGTACTCGTCTACCCGAGCCGAGCATATAACCCTGGTGCGTCGTGTATTGAGGAGGCTGTTGGAGCACGACCTATATGTCAAGGCAGAGAAATGTCTGTTTTTCCAGGAGTCGGTATCCTTTTTGGGTTATCGGTTGTACGCATCAGGGGTGAGAATGGAGGTGGATCGTGTGTCCGCTGTGCGTAATTGGCAAACTCCAACCACTGTAAAAGAGGTGCAGCAGTTCTTGGGCTTTGCGAATTACTACCGGAGGTTTATCCGGGGTTTTGGACAGGTGGCAGCTCCCATCACGTCCCTTCTGAAAGGGGGTCCGGTGCGCCTGCAGTGGTCAGCTGATGCGGACAGGGCCTTTAGGAGACTGAAGGACCTGTTTACGTCGGCTCCGGTGCTGGCGCATCCGGATCCCGCATTACCCTTTCAGGTTGAGGTAGACGCGTCTGAGGCTGGTATAGGGGCCGTTCTCTCTCAACGGTCCGGCACGCCACCTAAACTCCGCCCCTGTGCTTTTTACTCAAAAAAGCTCAGCCCGGCGGAGCGTAACTATGACGTTGGGGACAGGGAGCTGTTAGCTGTAGTTCAAGCCCTTAAGGTGTGGAGGCATTGGCTTGAGGGGGCTCAACACCCTTTCCTCATTTTGACTGACAATCGGAACCTGGAGTACATCCGGGCAGCGAGGAGACTGAACCCTCGCCATGCTCGATGGAGTATGTTTCTCACCAGGTTCGTATTTAAAATCACGTACATCCCTGGGTCCCAGAATGGTAAGGCAGATGCGCTGTCCCGGCGGTATGACACGGAGGAGAGGTCCGTTGAGCCTACTCCCATACTACCGGAGTCTTGCCTTGTGGCACCGGTGGTGTGGGAGGTCGATGCCGAAATCGAGCGAGCGTTGCGTACCGACCCCAGCCCTCCACAGTGTCCTGAGGGTCGGAAGTACGTTCCGCTCGAGATTCGGGATCGACTCATTTACTGGGCTCACACGTCACCCTCCTCTGGACATCCGGGTATTGGCCGGACAGTGCATTGCCTTAGCACTAAATACTGGTGGCCCACTTTGGCTAGGGATGTGAGGGTTTATGTCTCCTCCTGCTCGGTGTGCGCCCAGTGTAAGGCGCCCCGACATCTGCCCAGGGGTAAGTTACAACCCCTGCCCGTTCCACAACGACCATGGTCCCACCTCTCGGTGGATTTTGTGACAGACCTTCCCCTCTCTCAGGGGAATACCACCATCCTGGTCGTTGTGGACCGGTTCTCTAAGGCCTGTCGTCTTCTCCCAATGTCGGGTCTTCCTACTGCCCTACAGACCGCTGAGGCCCTATTTACCCACGTCTTCCGGCATTACGGGGTACCCGAGGATATAGTGTCTGATCGAGGCCCCCAGTTTACCTCCCGTGTTTGGAGAGCGTTCATGGAGCGGTTGGGGGTCTCGGTTAGCCTTACCTCAGGGTACCACCCGGAGAGTAACGGGCAGGTAGAACGTGTCAACCAGGATGTGGGTAGGTTTCTGAGGTCGTATTGCCAGGGCCGGCCGGAGGAGTGGGCACGGTACATTCCCTGGGCCGAGATGGCCCAGAACTCTCTCCGCCACTCCTCTACCAACCTAACCCCCTTCCAATGTGTGTTAGGTTACCAGCCGGTTCTGGCACCTTGGCAGCAGAGCCAGATCGAGGCCCCTGCGGTGGATGATTGGATGAGGCGCTCGGAAGAGACGTGGAACGCTGCCCACGTCCACCTGCAGCGGGCCGTCCTTCGTCGAGCGCCGATCTCCACCGCAGTGAGGGGCCGGTGTACGCACCCGGAGATCGAGTCTGGCTCTCTACCAGAAACCTACCCCTCCGCCTGCCCTGCCGGAAGCTGGGTCGGCGGTTTGTGGGGCCCTTTAAAGTCCTGAGAAGATTGAACGAGGTGTGTTATAGGTTACATCTACCTGTTGAGTATAAGAATATTAACCCCTCGTTCCATGTGTCTCTTCTCAGGCCGGTGGTAGCTGGTCTACTCCAGGACAATGAGATAGGGGAGACTCCTCCGCCCCCACTGGACATCGAGGGGGCTCCGGCGTACACCGTTCGGTCCATCTTGGACTCAAGACGCCGGATGGGGGGTCTCCAGTATCTCGTGGAGTGGGAGGGGTACGGCCCGGAGGAGCGGTGCTGGGTGCCGCGGAGGGACATCCTAGACCCATCTCTCCTGTCGGAGTTCCACCGGGACCATCCCGCGCGCCCTGCTCCGCGTCCTCCTGGTCTCCCCGAGGCCGGGGTCGGCGCACGGCTGGAGCCGCGCGTCAAGGGGGGGGGTACTGTCACGGTTTCGGCCGAGGCTGCTCCTCCTCCTGGTTCGGGCAGGCTTCGGCGGTCGTCGTCCCCGGAGTACTAGCTGCCACCGATCTATGTTTCATGTTCGTTTGGTTTTGTCTTGATGTTGTACACCTGTGTCTTGTTAGTCCTCGTTAGTGTCCTATTTAGTTCTCGTTGTGTGTGTTTGTCTTTGTGTGTGATTGCTCTTCTGTTTGTGTTGGAGCTACGTACTTCCCTCCAGTGTTTTGGAGAGGTTTTTCGCACATGTTAGTGCGCCGTTTGTTTGACGCCTGTGTGCGCCGTTATTTCGCCTTCGGGCTTATTGTGCTTATTTTCTACGTGAATATTGCACTAAAGTCTTTTGGACTGAGCTTCTGCGTCCTGCGCTTGATTCATGCACCACACCCACCTTCAGCACCCCTTGACAGACTGTTGAAAAAGCATTCCAGGTGAAGCTGGTTGAGAGAATGCCATGAGTGTGCAAAGCTGTCATCAAGGCAAAAGGTGGCTCCTTTAAAGAATCTCAAATATCTAATATATTTTGATTTGTTTAAAAAAATTTTGGTTACTACATGATTCCATGTGTGTTATTTCATAGTTTTGCTGTCTTCACTATTATTCTACCATGTAGAAAATAGTTAAAATAAATTAAAACCCTTGAATGAGTAGGTGTGTCCAAACTTTATGTAGCAATGTTATTACGTGTAGCGAAATGCTTGTGTTCCTAGCTCCAACAGTGCAGTAGTATCTAACAATTCACAACACACACAAATCTAAAAGTAAAATAATGGAATTAACAAATATATAAATATTAGGACTAGCAATGTCAGAGTGGCATTGACTAAAATACAGTATATACATATGAAATGAGTAAAACAGTATAAACATTATTAAAGTGACTAGCGTTCCATTACTAAAGTGACCAGTGATTCCATATCTGTGGTCCTCTGTAGCTCAATTGGTAGAGCATGGCGCTTATAACGCCAGGGTAGTGGGTTCGATCCCTGGGACCACCCATACGTAAAAATGTATGCACACATGACTAAGTCGCTTTGGATAAAAGCGTCTGCTAAATGGCATATTATTATTATATATGTACATAGGGCAGCTGCCTCTAAGGTGCAGAGTTGAGTAACCGGGTCAATGAGCTGTTGAGGGTGCTATGTGTTAAACCGGTCACAACTGGTATATAACAAGTACTGTGTTATAAACCTGTCACTAGTGTATAAATAAGAGGATTGGCAGTTGAGTCTTATTAAATGCTTTATTACAAATTAATGTGAACAATACCAAGAAGCAGGACTTGATTCTTAGACTGAATGAAACGTGTTCCTTCCCTTTAGGCTGTGCCGATCTTAGAAATATCACACAAATATTTCTGAACGAAAGTATGAGGCCTTGAGTAGAGTTGACTACACAGAAGATACAAAACGTCATTTCCTGTAAATAAAAAAAATAAAAACATTTATTGCAATCAGCCTTTTTATTACAGGGCGCATCAGACGGTTTTGTAGGATCTCAATATCGTACACATTCAAACTGCACTGGGATTATTCAGACACAAAAGAAAACATTTCTAAATTTCAACCATTTGTACCAGCTGTTTAAAGGTTTAGTGTAGTTTGAAGATATGAGCGGAAGAGAAGGCTGTTTCATGTGATGTATTAAACTTAAACACATTGGTAGTCTCCTAGTCCTAAGAGACTAAAAATCACTTGAATTTCTGTCCAGTACTTGGCTTAATCTGTTAGCAGGAAACTAGCCCAAAAACTGTCCACACAGACTCTTTAGCCCCCAGACCCAGACCTTATCTTCAAAGCATTTGATGTATCATTCATTAAATCTTTCACAAAATTGGCAGTGCACACCACATTAGGTCAAGACACAGTTTCAACATTATAGTTTAGCTGGCCTCTACTCAGGCTAAAACATGGAGACTGGCATGCTATAGTTTCACTGAGAAGCACAAAGTATAGAGCACCAGACTTAAGGCAGACTTACGGCAGACTTAAGGCAGACCTAAGGCAGACCCAAGGCCTACATGTAATCTCAATGCAACAATGTGAAAAATCAAGCCAGAAAAAATAAAAGCGCTGAATGCAAGTTATTTGAACAGATATTTGTGAAAGTTCTAAAGTTAATAAGACACTTTCTACCCAATGTGTCTGAAGAGCTAGTCCTTATGTTTTATAATAATAATAATAATAATAATAAACCCCAAGACAGAAAAAGTTAATAGTGGAACAAACTAAGCCTGAGTACCAGGCTGTGTGGCGCCATCACGCCAACTCCCTGTCACTCATTGTCACGGCACAATGGAGTAGGCGCAAAGATCACAAACAGATCTGGGACTAGGTTAGAATACAGTCTTTGGCAGTCCTGACGATAAAAATAAGAACATTGCTACAAAAAAAAAAAAAACATCTCACCATTTAACAAAAAAAATATGGAACAAGGAACAGTGTTTCTATAACATAACATAGTATAAAACAGACCATAATACCACTGAATAATACATATTCGTGTGTGGAACGGAGCATTGTGATACGCTTGAACTCACTCCCATCGAGTTGGATCAGATGTGGTTTGCCCTAGCAAAGGTGAACAGCTGCGCATTGCAAATAGTGAAATAAAGAACCAGTATAAATATATAAAAAAGGCCTTCCAGGGAAAAATCTTAATAATATTATAATTTTAACTTGGAGGTCTTCTTCTCACTGTGGGGCTACACTGCATGTTTAACCAGTTATAGTTTAAACCTTTAACCTTTTACTGGATACGAAAAGAAACCTCAGATACATACCTGGGATTTTTCATAAGATCTGAAAACACATTTCATTTCTTCTTATTTTTTTTATATATATATATATTTTTTTTTTTACATACAATTACAAAAAATAATTTGCAAGTAAGAATCATTCTATACCATGTTATAGTTGCATTAGATAGTCCTCTACCTTATATTCTACCAAAACTGTCACCGTTTACAGGTAAGTATGGGATTGACATCGACTGATAAATAGTGTTTTCAGTATTAACTCACTCACTCTTTTTACCCCAACCAGGCAGGGTTATTAAAAGGGGCTGTTTTCATTCATTGTATCTTGGAATTAGTATGTATGAGTTCGTCAGAACTGTTGCTCAAAAGGGTCTGGCTGTTTTCTTCTTCCAACCAGGCTACGTTATCTATTCCCCCATCTACTGCACTACTTTTAACCAGAGACGTACGGGCCCTGGTCGAAAGTATTGCACTACATAGGGGAATAGAGTGCCATTGGGAACGCAAAATTAAACGAACAGTTGGCCCGTCTCTTCTTATTGGTACCAGGGGGTCTTTCGGATCCAGTGCAAGGTGAAACCGGCGTCCGTCCGGATCTTGATGGAGGCAGCCTCGGCCTCTCTAACCGTCTCCTTCACAGACTGCATCAGGTTCTGGGCATTGTGAACCAACATCTCTGTGGCCTGGGAGATGGGGAAGGATAATGGTCAAATTGATCATTAAGTTGTTCTTGTGTAACACTGTACTACACTAGTAACATGCTATTTACATCGTAACATTACTGCTAATTACTACTCTAGCGATTGCTTTTCAAGTTTAGTTTAAAACAAGTGGAATATGGACTGTTCTTTATTCCACTTGTATAATAACAGAAAACCGCTGAACCTCATTATGACGTAATTACAAAGCAAAAAGGTAACTTTGGTTGAGGAGTATAATCCAGTGATCTCCAGTGTACTGACCTGCTCGGACTCCTCCTCGCTGATGTTGGTACGACCCAACATGGTGGCTTTGACCGTGGAGAGGATCTTGAGCTGTGTGCTGATGGTGGGGATGCGCTCACACACCTGGAACACAAATAAGTTGATCCAAGTTCAAGTTGATTTAAAGTGCATTTTACACAGGTCGCAAACAAGATAAAATCATCAGTCAGAGACATGAAGATCAAACACCGATTCTAATTATCTACCCTAATTCAAATCACGAGGGCATGCAGGAAATTGGATTATCTCATTCTAGCTTTAGTCCTACTACTCCTACATGAATATAACGTTGCCCTTTTGTATCATCTTTGAACATGACAGAGCAGCAGCTGATGCACAAGCAAAACCTGAAGCAGAGTCTGAAAACGTTTCTAGCTGTCGTCAAATCCTTGCTTCCTCCCTCCTTGCTTGCTCAATTCTTCTCGAACTGCATTGGAGGAGAGGATCCAAGGTCCCTCCCTTGGACCTCCCTCCTCCTCCAATGAGCTTTGAGAGGAATTGAGGAAACAAAAGACACATTTGGCAGAATATTGGACCAGATAAAACCCTGATGAAGGCAGCATAGCTGTTGAAACTTTGGTATTTTTTTTTACATTTATTGCATCGGAGCAATCATAATTTTTTTAAGAGGACATGGCCAGGGATCAGCCAGTCAACTGACCTGAAGCAGGTTGGTCCGGATGCGTTTGTCTGTGCACTGCTTGGCCACCTCCTTGGCCAACTTCGTGACCTCGTCTGAGGCTTTTGCGATGTCTTTGGCACACTGGATGAGGGCACGCTTATTCCCACCGGCACCGCGCACCAGCCGGGACATCTCAGCCATGAGCAGGGCCATTCTCTTGGCTGCACCGATGATGTCGTTACCCTGAAAGAGGTCGCAAAAAGCAAAGCATGAAATCGGACGTATGACAACACAGTGGACGTGTACACGTCACGCTTCCTAGATGACACCGAATGATGGCAACTCTGAGCTGCTCTACTGTTGCTTTCTGGTCGCAGAGAAATTCCAATGTACTTTACTGGCAATAAACTTAACTTGACGTTAAACCTAAACATGTAAGTGTATGTGCTTGTATCTCACCTTGCTGGACCACTTGCGGGCCTCCTCGTGGAGCTGTCTGGCGGCCATCATCATGGGCTCGCTCACCATCTCTCCCTACTTCCTGCTCTGGGAAGTCCTCGTCCTTCTCCTCTGGGGGAGGGGGTCTGGGGGGAGGAACCTCACCCTCGGGGAGAGGTGGTTTGGGTGGGGCGGGCTCGTCGCTGACCTGGCGTGTTGTATTCAGAGAGGTGAAACGTTCCGAAAGTTGCAGACAGAAGTGCTAATTCTCTATTCTACATGGCAGATAATCATTTCTGTTCAAAAAATTATAATACTAAATACATCAGAACATTCTGAAACCACATTGCTACCCCACTGAACAAAACCCTGATGTTGACAGTCTAGGACTATTAAGCTTTTTTTGTGACAACTGCTGATGTGAAAAGAGCTTTATACATTAATTTGATTGATTGACTTACGTGCAGTTGGTCCAGATCAGGAGGTGGTGGGAAGTCTGGTTCCTGTGGCTGGAAGGCATCTCTCACCTTGGCAACGGCCCCCAGGATCCTATGGCCTGAGTCCAGGAAGCCCTTCTGCAGACCTGGACACCACAGAGGAATAATCAGATAGTTAGTTAGGCCTTATAAACAGACCTGAACACCACAGAGGAATAATCAGATAGTTAGTTAGGCCTTATAAACAGACCTGGACACCACAGAGGAAGAATCAGATAGTTAGTTAGGCCTTATAAACAGACCTGGACACCACAGAGGAAGAATCAGATATAAACAGTAGACTAGACAAAGGCCCCAAAAGCTGCTGGTGAGGCGGCAGCAAAACATTGACAGAACCCTACACCATAACACCATTGACAGAACCCTACACCATAACACCATTGACAGAACCCTACACCATAACACCATTGACAGAACCCTACACCATAACACCATTGACAGAACCCTACACCATAACACCATTGACAGAACCCTACACCATAACACCATTGACATAACCCTACACCATAACACCATTGACATAACCCTACACCATAACACCATTGACAGAACCCTACACCATAACACCATTGACAGAACCCTACACCATAACACCATTGACAGAACCCTACACCATAACACCATTGACAGAACCCTACACCATAACACCATTGACAGAACCCTACACCATAACACCATTGACAGAACCCTACACCATAACACCATTGACAGAAACCTACACCATAACACCATTGACAGAACACTACACCATAACACCATTGACAGAACCCTACACCATAACACCATTGACAGAACCCTACACCATAACACCATTGACTGAACCTTAACTTTTGACTATCAAAGATTCAGAAATGGACAGAATGAGGCTTCATATTTAGTATTAAGTCATGTTGGATAGCTATAGCTGGACAGCAGGGTACACAGTATAATGATCAAACACATCCTAAATGTAGGGAAACCGCCTCGGAACGTACTTGGATCGGTGATGTTCCCAGCCACAGCCTTGGCGTCCATCACCATGGGAGAGATGGTCCGGCTCAGCTCATCAGACGCAGCCTTCACTATCTCTCTGAATCTAGGATCCTCAGAGTTCTCAACCTAGGGATAAAAGTCTATTAATATTTCTCTTTTTAAATCATGTTCACGTTTTCTGCAATTCAGTTGTCAGTACTGTAAACTTGTGTTTGTATGTTTCTGCCTCTGCTTTGCTCGCTCTTTGGGGTTTCAGGCTGGGTATCTGTAAAGCACTGTGTGACAACTGATGATGTTAAAAGGCCTTTAAATACATGTGATTGATTCTATGTGTAAATAAACATATCTCTACCTCCCGTTTCGCCACCAGGAGGATCCGGTTGGCCCGCCGGGCGATGCTGGTGGCTCCTACCACTAACATCTGGGGCTGGTGGTTAGCCATGGCCGCGCGACACTTCTCCAGGTCTTTCTTAATAGCCTCCTCAGAGGCATCCAACAGAGACTTGGTGTCTATGGCCTCGTCCACCAAACCTAGAGACAGAGGAGACATCATTCTTAATGCTAATAAGGAAGTGAACACGTTTACATTTAGATTTTTTACACAACGTCCACTTTATTGTGATGAACAACAAATGACAGGAGATGATCTGGCACTACCTGTCATTTTCTCCACGTTGTCAATCCACTGGTTCTTCATGGTCTCAAAGTGCTCGAAGGCAGCCTGGTTTCCTGGGTTTCTCAGCATGATACGGGCAGCAGAGACCACCTAGAAGAGAAAGTTCCCATCAGTTGGGGACATAATTACGTCATCCTCCTGACCAATGGCCACTTTGGGATAAACACCTACACTCTCACACACACACACACACACACACACATTCTCACACTCTCACAATCTCTCACACAATCTCACACACACTCTCACACAATCTCACACACAATCTCACACACAAACACACTCTCACACTCTCACACATTCTCACACTCTCACACACACACACACACACACACACACATACACATACCTGTGGTGTAATGTCCCTTGTAGACTTGACGGCAGCTTGGATCCCCTCCACGGTGCTCTTGTTAGCTGTTCCCACAGCGGCAGCCTTTTCTGCTGTAGCAGCCAGCTTGTTTGCATGGTTCTCAAAGTTGGCCGCCCTCTCATCAAACACCTAATATAACAGTTACAAATCAGAGAACAATTCAACTTAAAGGGATACTTCGGGATTTTGGCAATGAAGCCCTTTATCTACTTCCCCAGAGTAGCATGCTAGTAGATACCATAGACTTCCAGTCATTCTGCTAACGCTATTTAGCATTGGCTCGCGAAACTACCTCAAACTTCCTTCATACTGGACACAGAGACATAAAAATGGTATCCACAAGATCCTCTGACTCTGGTGTAGATAAATGGCCTCATTGCTAAAATCCCAAAATATGCCTTTAACATAATATAGTACACCATATGCCACTTGGCAGACACTTACAGTGACCAATAATGTAGATGGATCAAACTTGGTATTTTTTACTTATAGTAACATTTCCCTCAGGAAATGTAGTCTAAATATTATTGAGTGACAAGTACCGCATAAATTATTGGAAACTAATCATTGAGTAATCCATATGTTTTTTTTTTTTTAGCTTAATGTATGATGATATGAATCTGCCAAAATAAGTTAGGATAGTCAAAGGCAGAGACATATTTAGAGAAACATTATATCCCAGAATAGAATCCCATTCTATTATGTAATATATAGCTCTATATAACGCTCTGCTCATAGCTAGAAGTGAATGAATGAGCCATGATGGAGGCAGGGAGACCGACAGAGAGAGAGAGAGACAGAAAGAGAGGGAGTGAGAGAGGGAGGGAGGGAGGGAGGGAGGAAGGGAGGGAGGGAGGGAGGAAGGGAGGGAGGGAGGGAGAAATCACCCACCTGGTCCCTGTTCGGGGCATTGGGCGGGGCGGTGGAGGCCACAGCCAGTAGTTTGATGGGAGTGGTCGTGTCGCTGAAGATGTCCGACACTTCCTGAGTCATCGCTTCCTGCATCGTTCCTTTGAGGTTCTGAGAAGACAAGACCACACACACACACACACACGAGTTAGTTAGCAGGAGACCAGCTTTAGAAGTATTACATGTTAACAATACACTCTTATGTCTCTTTTGACAAGTGGCTTACATTGCATCTCAGATCAATGGAATTATTGGATTGGAACTGGTGCAGTTATACAGCTATTGTTCAACAATTGATTTTAAAGTGGCATTCTCCCTTTATTAATAAAACTTCAAAACACATTTTATTGGGCTACTTTAAGGTATCATAGTTATAGTGGCTGGAGCTGGTGTCTCCAGCCAGGAGGGGGAGCTCTTCACCATGCCTGTGACAGAGTGAGCTCCAGTCAGAGTCTGGTAGACTAGTGTGGATAATGGCTTGGAAGTGAGAGTAGGTGAGAGTGAATGTGAGCCGTCTCACCTTCAGGGTCTCCTGGAGCTGTTGAGCCACGGCACGCGCCTGTGGCGACTCCCCATCGCCCCTGGCGGCCAGGTCGGCTAGCTGGGCCATCAGCTGTTCTACCTGCTCACACTTCCCCACCAGCCCCTGTCTGTATGGACCTGGCAGGGCGTTAGCCAGACGACGGCCCTCTGCCACCAGGCCCCGGATAGCTGCCTGGCCTGGGGTGAGACATAGACACTGTCAAACACGCGCAAGTACACACACAGACACAGATATACACAGCAAACAAAGCTTTGGATCATAGGTGGGTTTCTACCGATTTGGCCCAGAGGGTTAAGTGTAGAAGGACCACCCACACTTCCTTTATTCTATATAGTTGTATGTTATTCTATATAGTTGTATGTTATTCTATATAGTTGCATGTTATTCTATATTAGTTGTATGTTATTCTATATAGTTGTATGTTATTCTATAGTTGTATGTTATTCTATATTAGTTGTATGTTATTCTATATAGTTGTATGTTATTCTATATTAGTTGTATGTTATTCTATATAGTGTATGTATTCCTATATTAGTTGTATGTTATTCTATATTAGTTGTATGTTATTCTATATAGTTGTATGTTATTCTATATTAGTTGTATGTTATTCTATATTAGTTGTATGTTATTCTATATAGTTGTATGTTATTCTATATTAGTTGTATGTTATTCTATATTAGTTGTATGTTATTCTATATAGTTGTATGTTATTCTATTTAGTTGTATGTTTTCTATATAGTTGTATGTTATTCTATATAGTTTGTATGTTATTCTATATTAGTTGTATGTTATTCTATATAGTTGTATGTTATTCTATATTAGTTGTATGTTATTCTATATAGTTGTATGTTATTCTATATTAGTTGTATGTTATTCTATATTAGTTGTATGTTATTCTATATTAGTTGTATGTTATTCTATATTAGTTGTATGTTATTCTATATTAGTTGTATGTTATTCTATATTAGTTGTATGTTATTCTATATTAGTTGTATGTTATTCTATATTGGTTGTATGTTATTCTATATAGTTGTATGTTATTCTATATAGTTCTGATTATGCTTACTCTGAACATTCTCCAGTAGGCCATGTAATACAGCCCAGAGTCTAAGTGTTAACAACAGATGACATGTGAGAAAATATCCAGGCTTCTGAGCCGACAAGCCAAGCCAAAGATATAATGATGAGGTTGGGAGAGAGCAGCGGAATGTATTGCACAGAGAAAAACAACACAGCAGACATGTACATAGAGTCTGGACTGATGCTCACTGTAGAGGGAGAGAGAGAGAGAGGGAGAGATGGAGAGAGAGGGGGATGAAGGGAGAGAGGAAGGAAGGAGGGCTAAGAGAGAGATGGAGGGGAAGAAAGAGAGAAGAAAGCAAGAGGGAGGGAGGGAGATAGAGATAAAGGGAGGGAAGGAAGGAGAGAGAGACAGAGAGAGAGAGAGAGAGACAGAGAGAGCGAGAGACAGAGAGAGCGAGAGAGCGAGAGAGAGAGAGCAGGCCATTCAGACTCACCCACTCCCCCGTCATCGATGGTGGGGTTCTCCATCCAGCTCTGGGCCTGTTCTATCTTCCCCTCCAGGTGGACTGCAGCCTTGGCAGGCCTGCTGTTGGCTACAGCCTTGCTGGTCTTAGACTGCAGGTTCTGTAGGGATGTGGCTATCTGCTTGGCCAATGCCCTGGCCTCTGGAGTATCACCTTTACCCCTGTGAATGGGAGAGAATAATGTACTGGAAATGAAATGTCCATAGTCTCTAAAGCATGATAGGTAGTTATTCTAATTAAATAGAATGCTGCATGTAGATGTTGATTAAGATTTATGGACTACTGGCCAGCAAGAAAACAATGTTATAACATTCACTTAACCTCTAAAGGCAGTGGCATTCAAAATCGGGGTCGCGACTCCACTAGGTGGAACTGCAGTGGGGCCACCGAAATTAATAAAAATAATAATAATAATTGGAACAAAAAATTTAGAGAAATTATTGTATGGGACAATATACAAACGTTTTTGAGAAAGGTCATTTGAAAAAAATAATTGTATTGAGTAAATGTATTTATTTGTTTCTTTTTTTTTTTAAATCTATGAATTGAAGGTTATTTGCTTATGTAAAATGTACTGATTTTAAGGTTGTGTCATTAGATTTGGGGTCCCCGCTGAAAAAGTTTGAACGCCACTGCTCTTAGGAATTACTTGGCCGAGGGATAGCAAGGATCCAACCCTGCGGAACTCAATATTTAACCTTGGAGTGTTTTGAACATTCTTCATTAAGCATTAAGATATTGACTCAGAGACAGACCAAGCCCCGCTCAGGTAATACCTCCCATCCTTTTTAAGCGTTATCGTTGTACAGTTGTCTATACTGCCAGGGGTGTTGTACGTTGTACGTTGTAATCTTGTACCCATTAGTTTGAACTCCACTCTTAGATCTGCTATTGTTAGCTCAAAAGAGAAGCCCACTGTGGTCTGCTCACCCAGTGCTTTTAGTTCAAATGTGAATTCCATAAACTTGAATACCCCTCGGTTTTCAAATCACAAAGAGGGCTTGGGCTGTTGCACCATGGCAACCAAAGCCCATTTAAGTCAGTTCATAACATTCCATCATTGGTTACTCTGAGAGTCACTCATATTGACATTGGCTGCCGCCTCAGCGGTGCTAACCTTGGAAAAGGAATTCCAATTTCTACTCCTTCCTCTATTACTAATAGGGATAGACCAAATGGTGCAGTTCTATGCAATCTTATGCCATACCAACTAAATAAATATCTACAAACTATTGAACATAGTTTGTTTGAGTTGGAGTTTCTATGTGACTTTAAAAATCATAAAGGACTTGGGTTGATGCATCTGAATATTAGGAACTTACTTCCTAAACTGGATTACATCAAGATCTGGGCTATTCAGACGAATCCGGACATTCTGGTATTGACTGAAACTTGGATCTCTGGGGACATTCTGGACTCTGATATTAATATTGAGGGTTATAATGTGTTCAGCGCTGATAGACAGGGTAGAGGTGGTGGAGTGGCCATTTTTATTAAAAATAATTTCTCTGTCTCTTTACTGAAATCCATTTTCCTTGGCAACTTTTTTTAGCTACTATCTTTAAGCCTTTGTCTGGGGGAAAATGTATTCATAACTGTTAAAAGGTTCTACCATCCTCCCTCAGCTAACCTTTGTGCATCGATGAGTTAACTAGTTTGTTGTCTTCTTTTACTAAATCAGAAGTTATTATCCTGGGTGACCTCAATCATGATTGGGAAATGCAGGCTTCAGACAATCTAAAAGACATGTGTAATGATCTAAACCTAACCCAGCTGGTGACTAAAGCCTACAGGGCCCAACCCTAAAGATCCTTCAGTCAACTCTGATTGATCTTATTTTAACAAATACAACAGAGAAATGTTTCTACTGGTGTCTTCGCCCAAGACATTAGTGACCGTTGTCCAGTTGTTTGTGTTAGAGATATGAGAATACAAACATCTAAGCCTCGTGTCGTCACAAAGAGGAACTTTAAAAACTTCAGTGAACAGGCTTTTTTTTTTACATTATCTTTATTTTAGTGACCTTGATTGTATTTCAACTATCCCTGAACCTGATTTAGCTTTTAGACTTTTTGCAGATGTCTTCAATACCATTGTGGATAATAATGCTCCCTTCAAAATATTAAGGGTTAAAGGTAGATCGAATGACTGGTACACTCCGTAATTATCAGAAGTCATTCATAAAAGAGATAATGCTTGGGTCAAGGCCAGGAACACAGGCTTAGGGCACTGACTGGCAAGCTTTTAAGTGACTGAGGAATCATCGCGCAAGACAAATCAGAAAGTCTGATAATGATGTAAATCGCTCTTTGGGATTGTAAAGGGAACCCGGCTAAATTCTGGAAAACTGTCAAATCCATTAAGGGTTCTACTTCCTCCTCTGTACAACAACGAATTAATTCAGACACTGGCCTCATTACAGAAAGAAAAGTCATAATCTATGCATTTAATCACCATTTTATATCAGTGGGCTATCAATTTGAAAGAACTTCTAAGGCTATTCACAATGATATTGGGCTGGATGCTGATAGGGCAAACTTGCTGAATGATCAGAGAATTGATAGTCAAAGCTATTCTTTTAAGCTATTTACAGAAAAAGAAGTCCTGGATTCTTTGCTAGCAATAGACAACAAGAAATCCACAGGGACTGACCAATTGGATCCTGGTCTGTTTAAGTGTGCAGCGCCCACATTTTTTATTTAACATTGTTATCAGGAAATATTCAAAAGTATGGAAATCAGCTCGTGAAGCAACTCTATAAGGGCCGGGATAGTAGTGATCTTAATAATTATTGCCCCATTTCAAGGCTTTCTTGTCTAGCTAAGATTCTTGAATCCTTGGTAAATGTACAGCTTTGCTCTTTTTTTTATCTGAGAGATGTATTTTGAATGTAAACCAATCAGGGTTTAGGCCTGGGCATAGCACTATTACAGCAACCACTTTAGTTGTTAATGATCTTGTCAATGCTTTAGACACTAAAATTAAATGTGCTGTTTTGTTTGTGGACCTGTCAAAAGCTTTTGATAATGTTGATTATGCTATTTTGTATTGAATAAGTTGTCCTCGATACGCCTGAGAACTGACGTCTGCTCATGGTTTCAGGATGATCTTAGTGACAGAACTCAGGCCATGGTGATTGATGGGGTTAAGTCTGAATTTCTTGAAGTACATAAAGGTGTACCACAGGGGTCAATTTTGGGACCTGTTCACCTTTGGGATGAATTGGAAAGCCGACTGCAAGCCAGGCCTAATCGCCCAACATCAGTGCCCGACGTCACTAATGCTCTTGTGGCTGAATGGAAGCAAGTCCCCGCAGCAATGTTCCAACATCTAGTGGAAAGCCTTCCCAGAAGAGTGGAGGCTGTTTATAGCAGCAAAGGGGGGACCAACTCCATACTAATGCCCATGACTTTGGAATGAGATGTTTGACGAGCAGGTGTCCACATACTTTTGGTCATGTAGTGTAGCTCCCTCAATTATCTTGCACCCCTGCACATCGACTCGGTACTGTATATAGCCATTTTACTTTCTACTTCCTGTATATAGCCATGTTATTTTTTACTTGTTATTGTTATTCAGTGTATTTATTCCTTGTCACTTTTTCTAATTTTATTGTATTTTTTATCTTTAACTCTGCATTGTTGGAAAAGGACCCGTAAGTAAGAATTTCACTGTTAATATACACCTGTTGTTTACGAAGCATGTGACAAATACAATTTTATTTTCTAGGGTATATAAAATGGATGACTTACTGTCTCCGGAGATCAGAAAGCTTGGCGGTGAGAGCAGCCATCTCTCCGATGGACCTCAGAATGTCATCTCTCTCCTTGGGATCTTCACACATGTCAGCGATCTTCTTGGCCTCAGACAGGAGGGCTCTAATGTTTTCTTCTCCCTCAGGACCACCGTTGGGATCTGCCAGCCAGTTCTGCATGGGCACAGGGTTAGGGGTCAACATAACACAACAGGCTTAAGACCATGGAACATAAATGCCTGTTGTTTAATGCTTTTGTGTGCTACCCTCTGGGATTTGTACTTTTTCAATTGTGCAACTATTACCCCCAAAAAAACTAATCAATCAATCAATCAGAGAGTCTACCTGAGCAGCGTCAATCCTCTTGGCGATGACCTGTTTGGAGTTGGTCATGGCCTCCAGTTTCCGGGCTGCATTCTCCACCTTCCCTGTGAGAACATCCAGGCCCTGGGAGACCTGCTGGGCCCTCTGCTTGGCTGCAGGAGATGCCCCCTGACCCCTGGAGATAGACGGAGAGAAAGACAACACAGAACATAAGATGGTTGTAAAATACCAGAAACTTTCCCGAAGTTCAACGGTTTTTCAGGAATCACAGCATGGTTGGAATCCCTGCTTTTTCTCTACAGAATCCCTGCTTTTTCCCTACTGAATGAATCCCTGCTTTTTCTCTACAGAATCCCTGCTTTTTCCCTACTGAATAAATCCCTGCTTTTTCTCTACAGAATCCCTGCTTATTCCCTACTGAATGAACCCCTGCTTTTTCTCTACAGAATCCCTGCTTTTTCTCTACAGAATCCCTGCTTATTCCCTACTGAATGAATCCCTGCTTATTCCCTACTGAATGAATCCCTGCTTATTCCCTACTGAATGAATCCCTGCTTATTCCCTACTGAATGAATCCCTGCTTATTCCCTACTGAATGAATCCCTGCTTATTCCCTACTGAATGAATCCCTGCTTATTCCCTCCTGAATGAATCCCTGCTTATTCCCTCCTGAATGAATCCCTGCTTTTTCTCTACAGAATCCCTGCTTTTTCTCTACAGAATCCCTGCTTTTTCTCTACAGAATCCCTGCTTATTCCCTACTGAATGAATCCCTGCTTATTCCCTACTGAATGAATCCCTGCTTATTCCCTACTGAATGAATCCCTGCTTATTCCCTACTGAATGAATCCCTGCTTATTCCCTACTGAATGAATCCCTGCTTATTCCCTACTGAATAAATCCCTGCTTATTCGCTACTGAATGAATCCCTGCTTATTCGCTACTGAATGAATCCCTGCTTTTTCTCTACAGAATCCCTGCTTATTCCCTACTGAATGAATCCCTGCTTTTTCTCTACAGAATCCCTGCTTATTCGCTACTGAATGAATCCCTGCTTATTCGCTACTGAATGAATCCCTGCTTATTCGCTACTGAATGAATCCCTGCTTATTCCCTACTGAATGAATCCCTGCTTATTCGCTACTGAATGAATCCCTGCTTATTCGCTACTGAATAAATCCCTGCTTATTCGCTACTGAATAAATCCCTGCTTATTCGCTACTGAATGAATCCCTGCTTATTCGCTACTGAATAAATCCCTGCTTATTCGCTACTGAATAAATCCCTGCTTATTCGCTACTGAATGAATCCCTGCTTATTCGCTACTGAATGAATCCCTGCTTTTTCCCTACTGAATGAATCCCTGCATATTCCCTCCTGAATCCCTTTTTGTTCCCTAGTGAATCCCTGCGTATTCCCTACTGAATCCCCATTTATTCCCTACGGAATCCCTGTTTATTCCCTACTGAATCCCTGTTTATTCCCTACTGCATCCCTACTGAATCCCTGCTTATTCCTTACTGAATCCCTGTTTATTCCCTACTGAATCCCTGTTTATTCCCTACTGAATCCCTGCTTATTCCTTACTGAATCCCTGTTTATTCCCTACTGAATCCCTGTTTATTCCCTACTGAATCCCTGCTTATTCCTTACTGAATCCCTGTTTATTCCCTACGGCATCCATTTATTCCCTACTGAATCCCTGCTTGTTCCCTAGTGAATCCCTGCTTGTTCCCTAGTGAATCCCTGCTTGTTCCCTAGTGAATCCCAGCTTATTTCCTACTGAATCCCTGCTTATCCCCTACTGAATACATGTTTATTCCCGACTGAATCCCTGCTTATTCCCTACTGATTCCCTGCTTATTCCCCACTGAATCCCTGCCATTGTCAGAACGTTGACTTGAATGGGGATGTCCATTCTATAGATTATATTTCTATGGTCATTCAGTCATACTGTACCAATGTTCTTAACACATTCAGGTAACTGCCAAAATAAAGGAAACACCTAAATAAAGTGTCTTAAAAATGCGACACCGTTCTTCCACGAGAGATTCCATCATTTGGTGTTTTGTTGATGGTGGTGGAAAACGCTGTCTCAGGCACCGCTCTAGAATCTCCCATAAGTGTTCAATAGGGTTGAGATCTAGTGACTGAGACGGCCATGGCATATGATTTACATAATTGTCATGCTTATCAAACCATTCAGTGACCACTCATGCCCTGTGGATGGGGGCATTGTCATCCTATGGGGGCATCGCCATGGTAGCATAAACAATGGCCTGCCAAGTATTTTTATACATGACCCTAATCACGATGGGATGTTAATTGCTTAATTAACTCAGGAACCACACCTGTGTGGAAGCACCTGCTTTCAATATACTTTGTATCCCTCCTTTACTCAAGTGTTTCCATTATTTTGGCAGTTACCTGTATATATACATGGTTAGTTGGTTGAGCATGACGCTTGCAATGCCAGGACTGTGGGTTCGAATCCCGGCTACACCCATACAAAACATGTATGCACGCATGACTGTAAGCCACTTTGTATAAAAGTGTCTGCTAAATGTCATATATTATTATTTTCTATGTACTGTACCTGGCCCTCATCTCAGAAACCTGGTCAGTGATTTGCCCCAGGGTTTTGGCTGTGCCCAGGATATCCCTCCTCTCCTTCCCAGCACACAGCTCTCCCACCTTCCCAGCCTCATCCAGGATCTGACGGATGGCCTGTTCTCCTGCATCCCCTGATCACCAGGACACAGAGAGCACAGCAAGACAAATGTTACAAACACCTAGAGAGAAAAAGAGGACAACTGGGTCGTGTTCAATTGGCACCAAACAGAAGACAATGGACTGAAACAGGGAGAGACTACTTTGACTCCAATAAAAACAATAGCAGAGGTGTATAAAGATGGCGGCCCTCATGCAGTTACCATAAATTCCTAATTTAGCTAAATTCGCCCTATTACATTGCTCTCCGTTTCTATATATTTTTGTATGGTCATTACCACAGTATACATGATCCCAATTTTAGCTTCAAAAAGTAGATTGTGCCGATTTATTGGCGCATTGAACCGTATCGCGCGCCGTAGTTTAAAATTCAGTGGATAGTGCTAAAACAATGACGTCATATCTTTATGCATGCCATTTAAAAAACGTTTTTTTTAATAGATTTTCTTTTTCTATGGTGTCCCCAAATTCAGGGGTTTTCTAACCTCTCCTCGGGGACCCCAGCTGTTTCATGCATTCAAACTATTCCAGAGCACACCTGATTCAGCTAGTCAACGAATCATCAAGCCCTTGATTACGTGAATCGGGTGAGCTAGTTCAGGGCTACACAAAAACAATGAAATGTCTGGGGGTCCCCGAGGAGAGGTTTGAAAACCACTGCCCTAATGAACACGACCCTGGTATATATTGAGGCATTGGGAGGACATGTTACCTGGTTGGGCGTTGGGGTCCCTCAGCCAGCTCTTGGCCTGGGTCATCTTAGAGTCGATGAGTGCCAGAGCTCTCTTCATGGCCTCTGTATCCTTTAGGGTCAACAACAGGGTCAGAGGAGACAACATGGATGAATAACTTATAACTTCCAGTCTAGTACCTCCCCCCAAAAAACATATTTGAAAAAGACTGAATGACTGAAATTAGGCAAATTCGGACTTTGTATAACAGCATATACAGGGATTTGTTCAAATCATTGTTTGCACGTGTCTAAAAATGAGGCAATAATGTCCCTAATGATCATTCCCTTTTAGGGTAACCATTCTGTAGTTTAATATACAGTGGGGAAAAAAAAGTATTTAGTCAGCCACCAATTGTGCAAGTTCTCCCACTTAAAAAGATGAGAGAGGCCTGTAATTTTCATCATAGGTACGCGTCAACTATGACAGACAAAATGAGGGGCAAAAATCCAGAAAATCACATTGTAGGATTTTTAATGAATTTATTTGCAAATTATGGTGGAAAATAAGTATTTGGTCAATAACAAAAGTTTCTCAATACTTTGTTATATACCCTTTGTTGGCAATGACACAGGTCAAACGTTTTCTGTAAGTCTTTACAAGGTTTTCACACACTGTTGCTGGTATTTTGTCCCATTCCTCCATGCAGATCTCCTCTAGAGCAGTGATGTTTTGGGGCTGTCGCTGGGCAACACAGACTTTCAACTCCCTCCAAAGATTTTCTATGGTGTTGAGATGTGGAGACTGGCTAGGCCACTCCAGGACCTTGAAATGCTTCTTACGAAGCCACTCCTTCGTTGCCCGGGCGGTGTGTTTGGGATCATTGTCATGCTGAAAGACCCAGCCACGTTTCATCTTCAATGCCCTTGCTGATGGAAGGAGGTTTTCACTCAAAATCTCACGATACATGGCCCCATTCATTATTTCCTTTACACGGATCAGTCATCCTGGTCCCTTTGCAGAAAAACAGCCCCAAAGCATGATGTTTCCACCCCCATGCTTCACAGTAGGTATGGTGTTCTTTGGATGCAACTCAGCATTCTTTGTCCTCCAAACACGACGAGTTGAGTTTTTACCAAAAAGTTCTATTTTGGTTTCATCTGACCATATGACATTCTCCCAATCCTCTTCTGGATCATCCAAATGCACTCTAGCAAACTTCAGACGGGCCTGGACATGTACTGGCTTTAGCAGGGGGACACGTCTGGCACTGCAGGATTTGAGTCCCTGGCGGCGTAGTGCGTTACTGATGGTAGGCTTTGTTACTTTGGTCCCAGCTCTCTGCAGGTCATTCACTAGGTCCCCCTGTGTGGTTCTGGGATTTTTGCTCACCGTTCTTGAGATCATTTTGACCCCACGGGGTGAGATCTTGTGTGGAGCCCCAGATCGAGGGAGATTATCAGTGGTCTTGTATGTCTTCCATTTCCTACTAATTGCTCCCACAGTTGATTTCTTCAAACCAAGCTGCTTACCTATTGCAGATTCAGTCTTCCCAGCCTGGTGCAGGTCTACAATTTTGTTTCTGGTGTCCTTTGACAGCTCTTTGGTCTTGGCCATAGTGGAGTTTGGAGTGTGACTGTTTGAGGTTGTGGACAGGTGTCTTTTATACTGATAACAAGTTCAAACAGGTGCCATCAATACAGGTAACGAGTGGAGGACAGAGGAGCCTCTTAAAGAAGAAGTTACAGGTCTGTGAGAGCCAGAAATCTTGCTTGTTTGTAGGTGACCAAATACTTATTTTCCACCATAATTTGCAAATAAATTCATAAAAATCCTACAATGTGATTTTCTGGAAAAATTATTCTCAATTTGT